CATCCCTCCTGCTTCCATGTGAAAGAGGAGGGTAGGGAGAGCAGACTTGGAGGAAAGCAAAGCAAAGTGGAGAGCTTTCTTGAGTCTGAAGGTCTTAGGTTCTAAAGTGAGCTGCTGGTTCTTATGCAAGTCATTTAACCTTTCTGAACCTCAGTTTTCTCATCAGTATAATGGCAGCAAAACCACCTACCCACTCAGGGTGGTAGGGGGAATAAACACACATTAAATGCTCCATGCATTAAAAACAGTAACTGTCATAAAAGCACTCATGTTATTATAAGCTCCTTCTACGAGGGTGCAGGGCAGTTCTCCTTATGAGTGTCTTTGCAAGAGAAACTGCAAACATAAATAACTGACTTAATCGGGCATAAAGGAAAAGAAAAATAAACTGCAACAACAAAAAACTGCAGTAAGGGGGGAACCATGGATTTAGGTTATGGGGCAGGGGAGATACACAACAGGCTTGAAACCTTATCTTTGGGAACTCTACTGAGATGTGGTTGAGAGGAAATCAACAGATTCAAAAAGATTTAGGCACAGAGCTGCACAAAGATTTACTGCAACATTATTTATAAAGAGGGATAATTGGTAACAGCCTACAGGTATTTTTTTGTGTTCTTTTAAACATTATGATGAGTATGTTACTTGATTTCAGAAAAAAAAGTTCCTCTTTAAATATATGAAAAGATTTTGGAATCCATTTGATTAGATGAAAGCTTTTTTAAATATGCCAATTGTTTTCCTTCTAAACTCCAGTTTAATATTCAGATTAGAACATGCCTATCAACAAAGGAAGGTCAGATGTGGGCATATCCCTCTAAATTTTTCCCATGGTAACAAAAGGCAAAATACATTATAATTTTGGGTGCCATCAGAACTTCTGCAGTACAAAGGCATGAGGAGGGTAGGGGAAGGCAAAGAGAAAATAATGCGTATAAAGAAGCAGATGATCTCCGGTATAATACTGAATAATATTAGGAGAATTAGGTTTAGTGCTTCTCTTTCCCATCAATACACATACACACACACACACTCACATTCAATGATGAGAACTTTTTAAATAAAATTCGATTCACCCACCAAGTCCTTTCCCATATAGACTAACAGAATCTATTTTTATATTCCAGTGAGATTTGCAGCAAAGAATAGAGTTCCAGTAAAAAGAGGAAATAATTTCTGTGCTGTACTTGGGTTTTTATCACTTCCTTATTTTAAAGTAATCATCCAACAAATACAAAAACTTCAGAACAATAGTACAGTCTTCTACACCCTGGGTACATATCACTGCAGATATTCTCAACTAAATTAAATCAGTTAAAGGGTTCTGGGTAATTTGCCATCTTCTTAGAAAACTTATAATGATACATTGCAGCATTGGGGGCTGGAAGAAACCTTCCAAATCATGTAGTCCAACCCCATCATTTTACAGATAAAGATCTTGAGAAATAAACTGGCTGTTCTAACACACTGAGGTCTCTAATTAAAACATCTGCTCAATTTTAAGGTGGCTGACACATTTGGAGAGCGAGGGTGGGAAATTAAATAAAACCTCCAAAACATTTTTTAGTGGAGTAGTAATTATGATCAACAGGCCTATTAAATAAAGAAGCAGCAAGATTCATGACTGAAGTATAACCCCGCTCCAGTGTCAGAAACATTTATACCTGGAAGTCAGAGATTAAATGCTGCTGGAGCTGGCACGCTGAATCCGTGAGTGGGGGCACAGGAAGAGAGATTGGGACCTCTGCCCTGATATCTGCGGGCCTGAGCACCAAGCACTGGCCTAATTTTATACCTATACGGATGGGTGGCCAGGAGTCACCCTGAGGGAATGGTGCCTCCATTTTCAGAAAGGTGGAGATTTGAGAAAATGATCCATGTGCAACAGAGGTACATGGCCACTAACCTGACAAAGGAAGGGTTGCTTAGACCCTCTCACTACTCCATGGACCCCTGACCAGCAGCATTAGCATCTCCCTGGAACTTGTTAGAAATGCAGAATCTTGGGACCCACCTGACCTACAGAGTCAGAACATGTATATTAAGATCCCCAGGTCAGGCCTGCACACATTAAAGATTGAGAGGCACTTGTCCTAAGTAATACAGCAGCAAAACAAAGTCTAGACACATAATCTATGTTATTCTAAGGAATAATTGCCTCCATGACCTGCTCTACTTGGTAAAGCTTTTGATCTTGAAGCCTTATTTAAAATTTTAAATGGTCTAAAATTTAGTTTAAACTTTAAATGGTCTCAATGAATATCCTATCAAGTAATCTTGTCTTTTCAAAAAGTACCTCAAAGTTAAGAACAACATCTGTATAGCTATGCTGGGAACTTTGCCATTTTCAAGGTTTACATATTAGGAATTGAGGTCTTTTTTTTTTCTGTTCTTTTCTGTGGGGGTCATAGGAGAAACATAATCAATGTTTCTTCAGTTAGCGGCTAGAAACCCCAGGGAGACCTGGTAAAGATGGAAGATTGAATTCAAAATAGAAATGTGTTCCTGATGAAAAAGAGGAACATCATGTAAGGGAATTTTACCATCAAAAGGCTGCAAAGGTCACATGGCCCAATCATGGTTCCAAAGCTAAATCCCTTTATGCCACACCTGCAGTCTCTGTTCATACTCCCCATGATGTGGAACTCACCACCTCCAAAGGCAGTCCTTTGCATCTCTGCATGCTCTACTTGTTAGAAAGTCCTCCTGAACTGTACCTCCCTGTAGCTTTCAACAGCCCTACAATCAGTAACCCCATAATTATTGTTCTTACCATTAGTTCATCCTCCATTATCAATTTTCTGTTACATTTCCCAGTGGGGTTTTTTCTTCACACAGGAAGTCAAAGATACAAGTTTCATGTATTTATTTCTTTCAGAACTAGGGCAGCAAATAGTAGTGGGGTATGACAATTTTATGTTTTGCTTCTATTTTGAAGCACCTTAGGAAAACTTCATGTGTACAAAGGAATATTAAAATAAACTATCACAAGTTTACATAGGGAATGTAACTAAGAACATAATTATATCAGAAACCTAGTTTAGGGATTGTACTGTCCTTAAGCACTGTTTCAGCCCCAGACTTTCTGGGAGTCAAAGCAGGTATGAAATGTGGCAAGAAGGTGATGCTTCAAAAATGTTTGAGACTCTCTGGCCTAGGCAGTGATAGGTTATTAACCCTGGAAAGTGTCACAGATCAAGTCTAATTCTGCCTCTTACAGAGAAGGAAACTGAAACCCAAAGGCATTAATTGACTTGCCCAATATTGGGCAGCTAGCTACAGTAGATCCAGGGAATGGAGTGTTCCTCCCCCAATTCAATGATCTTTATGGTAGGTACACTGCCAGACTCTGAGTCTTGAGTTGGTTAAAAAAAAGCTTGTCCAGCATAAAAATCAGAGATATAGTACCATATTACTGGGCTAACTAACATAGGCAACGGCTACGGACAAACCCAATGCAAACCCAACTCAAACCCAAGCCATCCTGGCACACACAGATACCTCAGATCTCAAAACCCACAAATCTAAAGCCAGATAAGAAAGTTATATTGGAGCCACTAGCCATTATTCCTCTTCCCTCTTTCCTATAATTCCATCTGTCACTATATATGCATTGATTCTCACCTGCAGAGATTTTCCAGTAAGCAGCTATTCTAATCTTCCATTAAAATAATCTCTTTCTGATGAGAGGTTATTTGCTCTCAGAACAGAAACACCACTGTGAAACAATTCATTCTTTCTGAAACATTTGAAACTGAAGACTGATAGCATACTGAAGCAGAGTCAGCAGTAAAAAGTAAAATAGTATAGGTGATCAATTTATCCAGGTATCTAAACATTGAACATATCCTAACAATATTAAAAGAATCCTTTTTTACCATCTAGTTTTAAAAATAACACCATTGCAATATTTTAAAGAACAATCTATTAGCGCATACAGCATGAGATGCCAGTACCGTGAACTGTGTACAGTACATGGAGCTCTGAATGACTGGTTGGTGGGTCACAGGGGCCTGTTGACAAGATGCTAATAATAGGCCATGACAGTGACATAAGCTCATCCACAGAAACAACTATTGTGTCTCAGTTCTTTGTAAGTTTAAGCATATCACAGCTCCCTCAAAGCAATGAAGTGCAATCATGCAAGTAGGAATTATGTGCTTTTTCTATCATTGTGTCTTTCTGAAGTAAAGATAACCAAACCCCAGAACAAATTACTAATCCAGGTCCCAGACATTTCAGGAGAGATATCTTTCATGTTAATACCAGTCATTTATATTACAAAATGAACTAGGATCCCACTATGTTAAGAGATTGTATCTATTTTTTGGTTTACAGCAGCCCATTCCTGAGATAAAAGCATCTAGGAAGCTATTTTGGCTTTTTAAGGTCACCAAGAATTAGGGAAATCTTGATTCAGTTCATCACATGATACAGGGGTGGATGAGCCAAATTAATGCCAGAGTCACACCAGAGAGACACCAGAGATAACTGAGCTTAGCTAAATTGGCCCATAATTTTCCAGGCTTCTTTGCTGGCATCAGGTATATAAGATCTCAAATGGCAAGAGAATGGAAGATAAGCATGTAGCCTGCTTGTAACCCACAGTGAGGCAGAAATAGAAAACAGAAAGAGGAAGAAAAGCCGTGACAGGCATTCATCCCAGAGTACATCTTCCGTTACTGTTAATCAGAATGTATGTCACACTTCCTGGGGCCACTGAAGTCATTAGTCCTGCCAGAGAGGATCAGAGTTCTCCCACTTGAAAAGAAACAGAGCAAAAGACAGAAGCTATGCTGGCAGGAAATAGAGAAGACAGATGTTTCTCTATAAACATGTTATCCAAAAGTGACACCTTTTCAACAAAAATGTTAATTTAAGGCCATGTGATGATGAAATGGAAGTGGCTTCCAAGCAGGAGGGCTGTCCCACCTGAAATGCCTGGGGCCTGGATCATTTTCCTAGGGCTTGTTTATCCTTCCTGCAGAGGGCATCCTCACCTTCGGAAAAGGCCTTCCTCACAGCGGCCACGTACGTCTCCGGCTCGTCCTCACAGGTGAGCTCCTGCCAGTGCGCCCAGTCTGGAAAGAAGTCCAGGAACACCTCGCTGTCCTGCACCCCACAGAGCAGCCGCACCATGCGGGATGGCGGATGGAAGGCTCTCTGCAGCAGGGGCAACAGGGCCGGCTGGCAGAAGTGCTGCACAAGCTCCACAGAGAGCAGCACCACAATGCAGCGCGGGCTGAGGAAGAAGCTCAGGTCCTGGGCGGAGAAGGAGGCCCCAGGGCCCAGCCTGTAGGTCAGCGTCTTCTGGGTACGGACCTGCCGACTGGACAGGAAAAGTTCCTGGAGATACTGGCACCATTCCTCAGCATCCAGGCTGTAGACAATAAGGATGTCGCATCCCCTGGGCTCCCCTGAGCAAGAAGAAGGCACAGCAGCATGTTAACGCACCTCTTCCTCCTAGGGTTCCCCGTGACCTACAGGATACACCATCCAGACAAGTATCCTGGCCCCCACAATCTTTCATTGTCTGGCCTCTGGCATACTGTCTAACCTCCCTCCCCACTTACAGTCGGTGCCCCAACCATACCAGTCTCTCTGTCTTTGCCCAAAAAGACCATACCATTTCAGATCTTTACATAAGCTTTTGCTTATGCTGGCATGCTCTTCCCCCCAAGCCAATGCAGTTTTGAATAAGATGATGGTGATAGCAACAGCAAGCACTTACAGAGACTTACTGTGTTTCAGGTGCTTTTCCACGCACATTGCCTAGTGAATGCATTTAGTCATCACAGCAACCTCATAAAGAAGGTACTACTATTAGCCCCATTTTATAGAAGAAAAAACTGAGGTGTGGCAGGTTAAGTAACTTACCCAAGGTCTGCACTGGCAGAATCAGAATTTGAACTCAGACAATGTGGCCCTAGAACCTGGCTCTTTCCCAAACACAGTGCCTACAAGCACAGGTGTAGCATCTGGTGGCCAGAGTTAGCATTTGGCTTTGCAAAGCATTAGCTATGTAACCTTCAGCAAGTTACTTAAATATTCTAACCCTCCATTTACTCATCTTTAAATAGAAATATAATGGCAATATTTATCAGTGTTTCATGATCATTGAATTAGACATTCCATGTGAAGTCCTAAGCACAGCGCCTGCCATGTAGTAAAGCCTCAATAACTGGTAGCTGGTGTCCTTACCCTCACACTAATATAAACAATACATTAATGTAAACAGTAACTGTAGTTGAATTAATGCTTTGACCTATACAGTACCATTTGTAAGGTACTGCTCACCATACCTGCTCCGTGACATAGGCTTCCTTCTTACCCTAATAAAGCACTAATGTCACAGTGCAAAGCCTCAGAGAAGCAGTGAGTTTAAAAGGGCTTTGGGGAGTCACTTGGCCCCAACTCCTCATTTAAAGACTGCATTTGGAACGCCAAAGGGACATGCTTAAATTCACACTGAGCAAATCAATCACACAGCCTGGACTGAAACTCATGTTGTCCCCTGACTCCCTGTCCCATCCTCTTGCCATCTACCAGCAGCTACTGCTGCCCATCAGGAACTTTGTCAATAATCTTGTGAGTAATAAAGTGTATCTTCCAATTATCAAAGTTTAAAGAAGCTTGGCTCTTAACGTCACTGTTACCACTGTTCTGGGTCCTCTTCTCCCACTAATTCAACTCTTCTCAGTGGTTTGGAAGAGGCGGGCACTGAGGAGCATTCATTCACACAGTGGTGCAGTGCAACAGGCATCCTTCCTCCCGTCAGAGAGGGAAGCTGGTCAAATTTTGCGACACTTGGGAATCATCTAAGATGCGGACTGTCCCAATTAAACACCACCCCTGGGCCACATTTCACTGAGAGGCTCCTGGCAAAAAGGTCAGAGGCAGGACTAGGGCAGATCTGGATCTCTAAGCTCTAGAAACATCATGGGAGTAATCCCCTTTCCTGCCCCAACCCCCACCACATTCAAAGTAAAAACAAGGACATATAAAATGTAAACCCAGCACAGTTCTGATTTGCCCTGGGATGATATTATGAAATTTTTTTAAAGGGCAAATAAAACAAACGTTTGGAGTTTCTTTCTTTTTGGAGTCCTTGCTTCACAGTGCTAATGTGAAACCCAACAGGCTATCAGCAGGAACAAGGTCATCAGCCAGGGAATACTTTTGGAGGGAAGGTGTGCAAATATTAAAAGAAGTCAGTATTGGAAGGCAATATGAGACTAAAGAAAAACAGTCAGCAATTCTGATGATACTGTGGACAATTGTGGCTCTGCAGATAACTCAATTCTGAGCATGTTCTGTTTCTTCAACTGTGAATAAAACAGTCCTTTTTAGGAATGCTTACCCTGATCCTAAAGTTTAGGCAAATTAAGACAAAATTCTAATGTGCCAGTGTTGTAGCCTTCCATAAAATAAAATATTTGCTGATTGACCTTTTTTTCTATTTCTGTGTAGAATATTTCTTTGTACCTCAATGGAAAAATAATGTCAAGACTATAGAAGGAATAAAATTGGCGAAGCTATATAACTATGGCACTCACACTGAGAAAAGCAGAGTTAAGGCATCAAAATATATTTACCTTCTATCTGCACTTCCTTCCTGCATGGCTGGTATTTATCCTCAGAGGCAAACACTCTTCTAAATGGAAGTGTTAGTGCTTATGAGTGTGCATGAGCACGGTCTTTCGGGTAGGCAATGTACAAGATTTTACATTTCGCTATAATTTAGGGGGATATGATGTTAGCAATGCTGGGCTCAGGATTCAGTTAAAAGTACAAAAAGTAGGAAGCAGTAGCCATTACGACCCCCAACACACACACAAATATACTAGCAGATACGATGTTGACAATTTGTACACATGGACTAGAAAGAGAGTAAGATCTCAGAAAGGGCTGGCTGTGGTTTCATACACTAGAGGTAGAGAAGCCATCGGTAACCATCTCAACAGAGTTCACAACTGATGGTAAAGAAGTGAAGAAGAGGATTCGCTAGAGCCTCAGAAGTACCCTTAAGCAGGCAGCTCAATTCTTGGAGCACTAATCGACTCTGTAGGAAAGCATGACATTGTACTGCCATGCTCTGTAGCCATGAGTGGTCTGTGCCACTTCTATGAGAAGACAGTGACCCAGAGTAAACCAACATTTTAAGATGTCAAGTTCTGGGGCCACTGTGGGAGTGAGCACTCATTTCACCCTTATCCTGCCCTACCACTTCCTGCTCCCCTGTTAACAGCATGTCACAATACCTGCTGCTCATTAAGGACCTCCTAACAAGGAAAGTGCAAATGTTAATAGGGGGACTGAATGTAGAGTATATGAGAACCCTCTCTACTATCTTCGCAGCTTTTCTATAAATCTAAAACTTCTAAAGTAAAAGTTTAAAAATACAATTTAAATAAAAATCACGTCTTTTCTAATGGAACACATAATTAAAACATCTCATTCCTAGGGTTCTAGTGTTAGATTCAACCCCCACTTAGAGCAAAAGTACTTGAGGAGGAAGTGGTTAGTGTCCCAGACTAGTTAATATCAAAACCTACTTGGTCACCAACTTGTGGTGTGACTTCAGACCAACATACTAAATCTAAGCAAATTTTGCCTCAATGTAAATGAGGACAATGAAATCTATCACCTTCCTGAATTTTGCTCTCCCATTGAAACTGAAAGCTTGGGGGAGTTCTAAACAGAAGTCCAAAGTGGAAGTTAAAGTCCCTCCATAATAGGCTGGGCAAACAGGACCAAACGCTTTGTCAGCAACTCTCTCGCCTATGGGAAACACCCTTTCTTCAAGGATAATTCCCTTCCTTTAACTGGAAGTCATTTCCTCTCATGTACCAAATCAATTCTCTTACATTTCAACAAGGAGTCATAAATCCTATACAGAAATGAGGATGGGTCTTTGTCCTGGTAGAGCTTAAAGAGCAGATTTGGCTACAGAAGGAGAAAGGCATGGATAACAGTAGAGGCAGGAGCCAGCTGATGGCAACTGGGAGTGACCAGGGTGGGAAGAAACATGGTGACTGAAAGAGAGGTTCCTTCGAAAGATTCAGAATCCACCTGAGAAAAGAACAGAGAGGAAGTGCCAGGGAGCCTCTCGAACTAGCCAGCCCAGATCACTTCTTTAGTCTGTGGGTGACTCTGACATTCCAGTCATCTGTCCTGAAGCCCCTTGTTTGAATCTGAGCACCATCTTGAGGAAGGATGGGTTGTGAGAGAGGGAAGGTGACCAGGAAATGTAACAATTCACATGAGGAGCTTCCAGACTCGGAAGGTTTCAAGCTTAGAGACTTGGAAGGAGTATGGAAGGACCTCAAGGACCAGGTGGAAGTTAAGATCACAAAAAATTAAAGGTCCCTTCAAGCCCCATTGTCCTTTAAGTCCAGGGATGGTAGAAGGATCTGGAGATATGAGAAGTTCTGGAGGGAGGGGGCAGGAAAAGGTAAGAGAGCATTCTTCAGACACCTGGTGACTGACCAATGAAGGGAAGGAAGGATTCTCATTCAACCACAGACGTGGCCCCTGGGAATATTACTTAGGGCCTCCTTCTCTCTCCTCTCCCACATGTGTAAATACAAGAGACAACATCAGGGGCCTAGAGAATACTTCAGGATAGGCTGATTACATTTCATTTTATCTTGCTTCCCAAGTTCTTTCAAGGACAGGGAGCCAAGATTCTTCTCAATTTCAACACGCAAATATGCCTTTCAAAATACAAAAGACTATGATGATGGGGGGAGTCTAGTAAACATAATGTTGCTCATGTAATTGTAGATTAATGATAACAAAATAAAATAAAACAAAAAAAACAAAAGACTAATTTAATGCTCATCCTTCAGTGGTAGGGACTCAAAAAGACTATACAATTTGGCCACAAAAAAAAAAAAGGAATGAAGTAGTGACACATGCTACAATTTGAAGACTGAAAACATACTATGTGAAACGAGCCAGTCACAGAAGACCACATATCATATGACCCCATTTGTATAAAAGTCCAGTGCAAGGAAATCTACAGACACAGAAAATAGAGCTTAAGGCTACAAAGGAGGAAGGAATAAGGGGTCAAAGCTAAAGCATGTAGAGTTTCTTCCTTTCATTCTTTTTTTTTTCATTTTCTATTTAATTAAATTCATACTCCCTTCACGCATTTCTCAAGTAGAGTTTCTCTCTGAGGTGATGAAAATGTTCCAAAATGGACTGAGACTGCACATATCACTGAAGACACTAAAAACCACTGAATCGGACACTTTAAGCGGATGAACTGTATGGTATGTGAACTTTATCTCAACAGAGCTGTTTAGAAGAAGAAAGAGGAAAAGGATGAGGAAGAGGAGAGAGGAGGGTGGGGGGAGGAAGAGGAAGAAAAAGAGGAGAGCTAAGGGGGGAGGGGGAGGACCAGGAAAGAGAAGGAACAGGGTCTAGGAGGAGGGGGAGTAGGGGAGAAGATGACGACCACACGGAGGAGCGGCCTGGATGACTCCAGAGCCTATAGCATTTCAACAAAAGGTACTCTCAGCACTGTGACTCACCACCATGCGTCCTTGTACCTCCAGACCTCAGGGAGCTCCAGGGACCCCAGAGGCCCAGCACCCAGTTGCAGCACCTGGAGTGTCTTACCGCAGAGGCTGCTGACAGCAAGAAAGTTTGACAGCCCCAACCATCACAGACATCTGCGGAAGCCACTACAGAGACCATAAATAGCCCCAGGTTTGGCCACTGTGCTAGAGACCCCATCTGAATAGGAGTACATCCTTCTAGTCCCTTTGGCCTTGCCCACTGAAGCAATGCACACAGGACACTGGGCAAGGATGGTTTACTCTGCCTCCTCCACCCGAAGGCCCTCCAAGTTTGCTGTTTCCTGGACTTAATAGCCCAGGGCCTATTCTCAGCCATGGAAGGAGGTAGAAGCTTCACTGACCTCATCCCCTACTTCTCCCCAGTCACCCACCTACTCCCTGTTCCTTAAATAAACCACATACACCCAGTTACTGTTCCTCTTCCCCTACAAGCCCACCCCGGCTTCAGGTCTTAGCTCAAATGTCCCTTTCTCCATGAGGGCTAACCAGGCCACCTCATTTAAAATTATAGCCCTGACCCCTTTACTTCCTCTACTGCTTTCCCACTGCACTTATCATGTCATCTCCTTATTAAGTGTATTGGCCGCCTTCCCCAACTACTTACTCCATAAGCTTCATGGGAACGTGGCTTATGTCTGTTTTGTTTACTGAATATACACCCAACACCTAGAACAGTGCCTGGTAACAGTAGGCAAGCAATAACTATGTGCTGAATGAATGGATTCCCTCTAAATAACTCTGCTTCAGCTTTCATGTGTGGAAGTATGAGCCTACTATTACCAGGAGTACCTTATTCACAATAAAGCTTCTTCTAGCCTCTGGCCCAGCTAGTTAGCTATCTTCCCACACCCCTTAAATAATAAGCCTGTATCACCAAATCTAATCCAACTGTCATCATTGGCCTTTTCTATCCCTGCTTTCAAAGCACCACTAGACGACTAGGCCTCAAGGGATCTGAAGAGAGCCAGCTCTTCATTCTATCATCTGCCCAAATTCTCCAAGAACAGTACCTTCTCCTGGCCAACTAGATTTTATTTTTCCAGAGGTTTTTACATCCTGTTTTGACATCTCTACTAAAACATCATAAATTGGGCTGGAAAAATACAGACAAACCCATCTGCAAACACGGTAGCTCTAATCCTCTCCTCTAGTAATCCCCTGCTCACTTATCCCTTTTCTTCACAAGACTGTAAGCTCCTTGAGAGCCCAGATGAGGCTGTCCTGGTCAACACTGAGAATATATTTAGGTGCATAGTATCCATTAAAGTGCATAGTAAGTGCTCAGTAGTTGTCGCTGTTATTAATCATTATTGCTGGTTTGTCCTGGATCTCAGTGAGTGAGTGACTTGTCAAGTGTGCACATCCAAGAACCAGAAGGGAATCCAAGACTAATCAGAAAAGACTCCCAGCACTTTTTCATGGGTCTATTACCAGTGGCCTCTACCTCTCTCCATTCCCCCAAATTCTGAAAAGGACAAAGGAAAAGTCAGGCTGAAGGAATAGTGGTCTAGGATTCCTGTGGAAATTCTAGACGAGAAACAACCTAGGATGGGCAGAGGAAGCGGACGCGACACTTTGGCCCAGGGCCGCTGGCCTCCCCAGTACCAACCTAAGGCGGTGGGAGCGCCCCCTATTGGTCTCACAGGGCCCTAAGAGCAGCGCTTCGCCGGCACAGACAACTCGTCTCTACGCCGCCTTTCGGCCCAACTCTAGGTTCAGAGTTGGAAGAACAAGGGAAACAACCCTCAAAAGTTCTGAAAGCCAGTGATGGAGGGAGAGAGGAGACCGAGAAGACGGGGGACATGGGAAGGTCAGGCAGGGGCTGAAGAGAATCGCGTAGCAGGTTGGAGAGGAGAATGTGGTGAGGTTGGGGTGGGAAGCCCGCGCCAGGAACTTGGGAAAGAACTGAAAGAACGCAGATACCGCCGCGAAGAAGCGGAGCCGAGAGCAGGCTCGCGCTCGGGGCGGCGGGGGCGAGGGGCGCGCGAGGGAGAAGGGGCGCGCCGCGGGGCGGCGGGGGCGAGGGGCCGGCGCCCTGCTACGCACCTGAGGCGGCCATGCCGCGGGGCGAGCTCGCAGGGGCAGCTCGCTGCGGGCGGGGACCCGGGGCCCGGAGCCGGGGCCCGGCGGCGTCCCGGGCGCGGGGCGGGAAGGGGCGCCGCGCTCCGCACAGCACCAGCCGCCGCTCTGGCGCTTCCTCCCGACGGGCAGCGAGGACTCGCCTCGAGGGCGTGTCCACAGGGCCCGCCCCCGCCTGCGGGGCTCGGCCCGCGGCACCTGCACCGCGGCCGTTGGGGAGGGGAAGTGAGAACCCCCCGGCCAGCTCCCCGCACCGGCCCCGCTCACCCCCACGCGCGGGTAGGAAGGAGGCAGGGGGCTTCGGGTCACGCGCGCCCCACTGCCCCTGACGCCAGCCTGATCGGCCGCCAAAGGGCAACCTGAGGTGGAGGGCGTGTTGAGAGAGGAAGGATGGAGAAGGTTGAGCTGGCTGGCCTCCGGGACTTGGGGGTGGGGTGTATGTGAGCACAGCTGGCCAAGCCATCTTCCCGTCCCCTGGGCCTTTCTCCTGCCCCTGCAGGAAAGGGGAGGGGGCAGGAAGGGGAAGAGACGCCTTCCCTGGCACCTGGCCCTGGGTACTTGGCGTTGCCCTTGGTTACCCTCCAGTGACTTTTTCAATTCCTAGGACCTGGTCCTGACGGCACTTGAGCATTAATGATAATCTGTGATAAACGCACGATGCAGTTACCACTACCTTTTTATGACTTAGAAGTAGCGCCTATCTGTCTTACTGTTAGAGCTGGAGAAACTAGCCAGATGCCTTGTTCAGACTCCCACAGTGAGTAAATGCTCCCCAAAGTTCCCCCACACGGGTCTGAGTCCATATCTAGGGCTTGCCATTTTCTGCACTCCTTGCCCGCTTTCTGTCCTCCACCCTGTGCCCGCTCCCATGACTGACCTGAAGAGCTTTGTGCCTGTGGAGTCCTCAACAATGCAGGGTCAGAGAATGGATCCAGAGAGCAGAAATGAGGAAAAGATAGGGTTCAAGTGTAGGTGGAAATAAATGAAATGGACTTAGGAAGGGAAATATGAGGGTTCAGGATGACAATTAGTTTTCTAATGCTGCTATAGCAAATTATCACAAACTGAGTGACTTAACAAAAATTTATTATCTTACCGTTCTGTATTTCTAAAGTCCAGCAGAAATCTTACTGGACTAAAATCAAGGTGTTGACAGGGCTGGGTTCCCTTCTGGAGGCCCTAGAAGGGAATCCATTTGCTTACCCTTTTCAATTTCTAGGGGTCTCTACCCACATTCCTTGGCTCATGGCCCCCTTCCAACATCTTCAAAGCCAGCAGTATAACATCTGGCTGACCCTGCTTCTCAATCACATTGTAAGGTCAGCCAACCAGCAACCTTAATACCATTTACAACATTAATTCTCCTTTGCCATGTAGTGTTACATCTTTACAGATTCTAGGGGTTAAGATGTGGACATCTTTAGGGGACCATACTCAGCTTCCACAGGCCTGGAATTCTGAAAGAGGAGATAAACCCACTACTTGCTATACTTACACCTGCTCCCCAGGCAGAGGACTTCTGTGGCCACCAGAGCAGGTTGGCCACACATCCCCCCAACCCACCCACATTATGCACTGTCACAGCCCTGTACTGTTCTTTAGTAGGTATTATATACATCTTTTTCTGCAACTACTTTAATCTGTGTCTCCTCCATTCAACTATAAACCCCTCAGAAGCAGCATCTGAGTCTGTCTTTCTCACCATGGAATCAATCCTTATCCCTTTGAGCCAGGTCTGGCACAGAGAATATGCTCAGAAGGTAGTTGAATGAGTGAATGAATGACCAAGAAATCATTACATTTGAAACAGTAGGATAGGAGGGACTTTTCAGGTACTGAAATTTGTGGAACCCTTAGCTTGGAAGAGGGGAATGGTACACCAAAAATGGGCTGTACCTAATAAAAACTGAGCTAAAGCTTGGAAATGTTAGGTTGAGGTGCCCATGGGATGTCTTAGGAGCTCTATCATTGCAGAAGAAAGAGATAGAGGACTAGAACCTGGCCAGGATATCACCGTGGAGTTGAAGCTGCATGAATGGGTGGAAGAAAGGAAATAGGGAGTGAGAGTCTGGCCTCAAGGGCAGAGCCAGGGGGAAAGGCCATGATCAGGAACCACAGAAAGAGCGTCTGCAAAGGATACTAGAGTAACCAGAGATGTAGGCTAACAGGCAGGACAGAATAACCAGGAGGCCAAGGAAGGGGGTTTGGAGAGAAGGTTATCAGTAGTGCGGATCACTGTGAGGGGTCTAGAAGAATGAGATCTGATATAAAAAGAACAGGTTACTGAGGTCACTGGGAACATCTGGGGTCTAACCTGGAACAGGGGAATCTGGACTGCTGTAAGATGAGGAGAGAGAGTGGGTGGTGAGAAAAATCTACTGAAAGACAGGGGCCCCAAATTCTTATCTCAGCCCTGTAAATTCTCTCTAAACCCACTGTGAGAAGCAAGCTGTAAACTCCCAGAGTCCTCCATTTCCACATGTGTATGCCATCTGAGAAAATGCTAGGGCTCTCTGTTTGGAGAACCTTGCTTGAATACTGGTTTTCAAGACCCTACCCTCTCCTGCACCCTCCCTCACTCTTCACAAGCCTGTTGACCTGGCTGGTCTGTATTCCCTGCTCCTTGTTTTGCAGTCATTACTAGGAGCATGAATTTGTCCATTTGAGGTCATCTCTCCTGAGGCCTCTCCTATCCCAATGCATGGTTCTTCTTCCAGCTCCAGATGTTAGGGAGTGAAGGCCCTTGCCTGGTTCTTAAGAGAATCTGGACAACTTTGAACCAAAAGGATACTTTTATACTTGTTGCAGCTCCTGGAGGGCATCCATAAGTTGTGGGTAAGGTCTTTGGTGCTGAGTCACTTGTCCAAACTCTGAACGCTCCCACTGCTGCATGGCACTGACTTCTGGAATTTCTCCGAGATGGGGAGTCAGAGGCCAGTGTTCCCTTGCTGAGATGACATAACTAGTCCTTGATGCCAGCAATTCCAGCCAGTTTCTTTATAGAGCAGGTTGGGTTGGGTTGGGGGAAGTAAACTGTTTTTACATCTCTGTTTGATGGTTTTTGAAAAACATGGAAGCAAAGGCGCTGCCCTTCTGAAGGGCCCTGCTCTACCCCTATGTACTGGCTCTGAAGGCAGGCCCTGCAGTCAGTCCCTCCAGCACTGGACAGCCCAGAGATGGGTTTCTGGCAGGATGGAAAACCCAGACTTGGCTGCTGCCTTATAGTCTTGTCCTTGGAAAACAGAAAGGGCCAGAGAGATGAACACATGTCACCTGAAGAACAGAGCGGAGAGGAATGGGGAAGGAACCTCTGTTTCTTACACCTTTAAGATGTTATTTCATAACCTTTCAGACCTGGGGACCAGAGCATTTTTCTTTCAAAACCTTACTTACTAGGACAAAAGGTAGAGCATCCAAGCGGATGCACTTAATTCATTTTAATTCTCTTAACTATCCTATAAGGAAGGTGCTAATAGCATACCCATTTTATAGATAAGAAAGTTAAGTAACTTATGCCCATGAGCACACAACTAGTAAACTGCAGAGCTGAGTTTTGAACCCAAACAGCCTGGATCCAGAGTCCATGCCTCTGCCTACTAGATTATGTGGTAAAGGCTTGCAGCAAGCCCTGCTGTGATCTGAAGACTCACACGAGTCACCACTGGCCTCTATTTCTATCGCCTCCCATTGCAGGTGGGCAGGGCAAGAGCTCCCTCTCACCTGTGAGATCCCCCTGCTGGGCCAGACTGCCTGATGCTCATGAAACATGAACATCAGGAAATGGCACCCCCATCAGAGCTCCCCTAGCATCTCCTACCTTCCTGTTCACCTCCTGGTCAGTGTCCCATAAGACGGTCAACCCCTTGACGGCAGGCTATGTTTCTTTCACCACTGCTCTCCAGGGCCTAGCACAGGGTCCAGTACACAGTAGCTGTTCAACAAGCATTAGTTGTTTGCTTTTAAATCATCAAGTCCAACCTGCTCAATCTACAGATAAGGACAGATACACAATTAAGTGAATTGCCTGAGGTCCCACAACCTTTATCTGAAGTGGCTTGTTCCCTGCTTTGTTCAGGAGTTCGAAGAGACTGTGCATATTCATTTAGACAATGGAGTATGTGATGGATGGACTATCTGACACAGCCCAATGGGTATTCATAGCTAGGAACAGGGAAAATGAGTTCCAGGACACCCTAGGTTAGCCTGGTAAACACCCTGGATTTATAAAGACCCATATGCCTTCTACCTGCTCAAGACAGTTTCAGCCCAACCCAGTGGGTCATTGTATCAAACCCAGTGTAGACTATTTGGGGACATTTGTAGCTTTTTAGGAACAAGTGTCTTTGCAAATGAAGCCTAGAAACCTTGGCCTCTCTCAGAAGTGAGGCATCCTTCCCTACTCACCAGAATGGCCACTCCACATGCCACAACCCTCCTCGGGTCATTTTGAGCAATGGCAGTGCTCATTTCTAGGCTCTGGATCTTATGTTCAGGGAAACAAAATGTTGGGCATCTGCTGTGTGGCCAACTCTGCTCAGAGTGCCATCGCTTATTCAGCTTTCATGAATCTTCACCTCAAACCTGTGATGTAGGCGTATTTTTATCATCCCATTTTAAAGATGAAGTAACTGAGGCTCCAATAAGGTAATTCACCTGACCCATGATCACTTGGTGAGTGAGTCTCAAGACTAGATTTTTGAATTCACAAGGGCTGCCTCCCTCGTCATGCATTATGTCTCAGAATTCATGCCAGCTAGCTATTCTGCACTAGTTGCATGATTCCAACCCCCAAAGTAACCCTCAGTAACAGGAAAAAGGAATGTTGTAGATTCTGATTGCCCACCCACTATCCATTCTCCCCTTGTTTCTTAGTAACAGAATCCCAGATTTATTCAGAGACAGCAAAACTCCATTCCCCAACCTCTCTTGCAGCCCTGAAGAGGCCACTAAGAGATAAATGGAAGTCACCTGACCATCCAAAAAAGTTCTTTATAGGATGTTTAACTCTTTTTTCCCCTCTCTTTTTAGTTTTCCCTCTTTGCCTTTCTCCTCTTTTAGTTCCTGCCCGGAATGTGAATGGGATGGCTGGAGATCTGACAGCCCTCTCAGATTATTGTGAATGGAAGCTACACACTAAGGACAGTAGAGCAGAAAGAGGAGCACAGTGTGGTTCCCTGGTGGCCATGGAGCAGCTGAACAAGCCCCAGTTTGCCACCTCTGAATTCTTTTATATGAGAGTGAAATACAGACATCTCTGTCTTCC